ATGATTGTATGTCAAGTTGCTGCATTGTCTAAGAGGATAGACCAAATTGGAATGATTTTTTCTCCAACACCCCAAATGTTTAATGAAAATTCATTAGGAAAAATGATTGATTCTCATACTTCTTTGAAAACTATAAATGCTATCAACAGACCCAATAAATCATATTCCAATTATTACAACCCAGGCTAGAAAAATCATCCTAACTTTAATTAGAACAACAATTTTAGTGGTGGAAGTCAAGAATGGGGGAATGCTTAAGTAAACCCATTGAGAAATTGGAACAACTAGGGTAGTGCTAACTTTAGACCTACTAATCCTCCTGGATTTAATCAACAAGTTAAGAAGATGAAGTTGTCGATAGAGGAAGTGGTGTTGCAGATGGGTAATCATTTACAAATTCAAAGTGCTGCTATTAGAAATATGGAGAATCAATTGAGATAAATTGCTAACGCACTTAACAGTAGCCCTCAGGTAACACTTCCTAGTAAATTAGAGATCAATCCTAAAGACAAAAGTAAAGAGCCAATGCAAGTTAAAGTGGTCCAACTAAGGAGTGGAAAGGAATTAAATATTGGAGTTCAAAAAGAGATTGAAGTTGAGAGAGAAGTTGAAGAAATTGAGAGACCTGAAGAAATTATTCCTATGAAAGAAGAAACACATAACTCTCCAACTAAGATTAATTTAGAAAGACCCCCACCACCTTTTCCTTAAAGACTTAAATAGCAAAAATTGGATCAATAATTTTCAAATTTTTTGAAATATTCAAGAAGCTTACAATTAATATCCCTTTTGTTGAAGCTTTGGAATAGACAAGTTATGCCAAATTTATGAAAGAACTTTTAAATAAAAAAAGGAAGTTTGTAGATTATGAGACTGTTGCACTTAGTGAAGAGGATATTTTATTAGAAGCTTGGTCTATGTAAAGGATCCAAGCGTAATCTTTGGTGGTGATCCCTTCTGCTAGAAAGTCTACCACTACCTGGGCTTTGATTGTCATCCAGGGGACATAGTAAATGTCTAATTTGCTCAACTATATTGCCCATTTGAGGAGCCGATCGAAATATTATGAGTGAGGGAGGACTGATTTGAGGGGATGATCGATGATGACCCAAATAGGGTGTGACTGGAAGTAGGGTCTGAGCCTGCGGACAGAGGTGAGAAGAGAAAATTTTAATTATTCCATAATTGGGTACTTGATTTCGATGTTCCTTAGGACTCGGCTAGTGTAATAGACAAAGAATTATTTTCTCTATTTTTCTCGAGCTAACACTGAACTGAAGACCTTAGGTCTGACTCCTAGATACAAAGAGAGTACTTCGGCTAGCCTTGGATTTTGAAGGAGTTACAGTGAATCCTTGAGCTTTTAGAATGCTTCCTCACATTCGATGGTCAATTTGAAATGATTAGTTTTTCTCAAAGTTTCAAGAAATGTGACACACTTGTCGCTTGATTTGGAGATGAATCAGTTAAGACATGTTATTCGTCCGGTCAATCTTTGTATTTCCTTCGTGCTCCGGGGAGAAGACATGCTCAGCGATGCTTGTCCTTTTTTAGATTCGCTTTGATATCTTCAAAAGTTAGAAGGTAATCTAGGAATTTTCTATTTGAGGCTCTGAACACGCATTTTAGGGGGTTTAACTTCATATTAAATGTTCTAATGGTTACAAATGTTTCTGTTAAATTATTTATGTATTGTTGGGTCGTCTTACTTTTTACTAACACTATCCACATACACCTCAACATTTCTTCCTTTATGTTTTGAGAAAAGTACATCCATCAATTGTTGGTAAGTAGTCCAGCATTCGCCCAAAAGATACTACATTATGTCAGAACACTCTCATCCAAGTGATAAAAGCCATTTTCTCTACATCCGCAAGATGTAGTTTGATTTGGTGGTATTCAAAGAAAGCATCCATGAAGTTCATCATGGAATGCCCAACTGTTGAATCCACTACAGCGTTGATCCTTGGCAATGAATAACTATCCTTCGAGCAGAAAGTGTTTAAGTTGGTGAAGTTGATGCATATTCACCATTTTCTGTTGGGCTTTTACACCATAACAATGTTGGACTCCCAAGTGGGATATGTAGTCACGAATATAGCATGCTTCCATCCTTCTTCATATATCAGCTCAACTAGGGTAGTTGTTGATGACCTCAACTTCTGCTTTGTCGGTCTAGAGATAGGATTAAAATTCAGTCGGTGGCATGCGTCGTCAATCAAGACTCCCAACATTTTTGCAGTGGACCAGACAAAGATGTCCTGAATCTCCATGAGGATCTGAACAAGAAGATCTCTTGACCTGGAATCAAAAACCTCACTTATAAGAAAAAAATTACCCATTTTATCATTAGTAGCAGAGAGTTGGAGGGGGCCTCGCTGGGTTTGAGTTTGCCCTCTCTCTAGTTCTGCAAGTTGATTTGCTCTTGGTCGATGATGGTTACCGCTTTGAGGTAACACTTCCTCAACTGCTCTAGGTCTTCTCAAATGGTGATGATTTCTCTATCTCTTGAAAATTTTTCAACTAAATGATGGGTGGAGGTCACTGCTCGAAAGTTGTTCAGCAACGATTGGCCAAAGATGGCTTTAGATGTGAGGAAGTCGACCACGAGGAAATCTTCAATTTTTGTGAATTGTTTGTCCTAGTCTCCTTAGGTGATTGTCAGAGTGATCATGCTGAGGTCTTCTTTCCTTTCTCATAAGAAGCCAAAGAAGGGTCTGGAAGGCGCTGCCATCTATTATGTCTCTAGGCTAAGCTTGTCAAATACTAGTTTGAAAAAAATATTCACTAAGCTCCCAATATCGATGAGGATACTTCCCATTTGGTAATCATTAATCAAAGTCGTAATGACAATCACATCATTACAGTAGTTGCCTTTTCCAAGTAGGTCTTCATCAGTGAATATGATAGCTTGCTGCGCCGCTCGTCGCAGAGCGAGAGTGATAGCTCACAGTTCTCTTGACCGGATTCTCTTTAGGATTGATCGATGGGAAGATTATTTTCCTCATCCAACTATTGCTGGTATTTTTCCCACAATTTGAATGGTGTTTGCCAGGACGAGTTCGTTGGATGATCTTTTTGCTGGAGCCTTCCCTTATCTACAACTGGTTGCTCTGGCTGCTACAAATTCTTTAAACTTTCCAGCTTTGATCAAGTCTTTGACAAGGCTCCTGAGAGGCCTAAATCTTCAATGTCGTGGTTGTGGCCCCTGTGATAGGCACAAAACTTGTTCGAGTTTCATGCTGAACTCCAGGCCTTCATTGTCTGAGGTTTTTTGAAATTTTATTTATTATGGATGGCCTCTACCAGTTCGACCATCAAAATTCTTAATGGGATCATTTTAGGTGGATGTTATTGTACTGGTGGTTGTTCGTTGTAGTTGGTCGACCATCTCGGATATTGCCTTTGGTGTTTTCTTTTTTTTCATGTTGCATTTGGTTGTTCTCATAATTAGGACAAGTGGGAGGGTGAGGATCATCTTTAGCTCACCAATTGTCATCTGCTGATGCCCTCTTCTGCAATTGTGGATCGGTGGCTTATCTTTGGACTTGCTCTCGAGAGTTGAGGATGTACTCCTTTGCATCGATATGATGGTTGGTCATTTCCAATAACTCAGCCATTGATTTCGGCTCATGTAGGCCTAGGGCGTCTTCAAAATGTTCATTTTTTACTCCTTGCGTTAGGGCAGTTTGTGTGCTCAGAGGTTATAGATTCTGAATTTCCAGCATCTCTTATGAGAATCTTGTGATGTACGAATGGAGAATCTCTCCTTTCAACTTGATGTGCAAAAGAGCTTTAGATTTCTTTTACAACTTCTGTGCACTGACCAAGTGGTCCACCAACACCCTTTTGAACTCAAAGAAAGAAGGGATAACTCCTGCTAGGATGGCATTAAACCACCTGAGGGTCAACTCCTCCGCGTTGTAAGGAACAAACAACACTTAAATGTGTCAGCGATTTTTAATATATTGACGATCGGCTCAAAAGCAACAACATGATCGGTTAGGTCGGTGAGACCCTTGTAAGAGTCGAAGTTGGAAGTTTTGAACTTCTCTTGAGGTTCGACTTTAAAAATTTGTCAGAAGAATGCAATTTCAACTTGATGAAATGCTCTGATTCGTGTGTTATAATGTCTTTCCACTGGGGCTGACCCGACACTATCTTGATAACAGGAATCCTCATCATTTTCTTCTAATGGCTGAGATTTTATGTAGTGTGCCAGCCCATCTCCCCAATTGTTGGGTGTTGATCTGCCCCAGCGATCAGACTTTTGCCAATAGTATTCCTACGATTTCTGACTCTGTGGTTTTTGGCTTCCCCTAATCATAGCTTCGTGGAAAGCACCTACCATTTACTATCTCATCTCTAATATCAGCTTTTCTTTCATTTCCATCAATTGTCGCACAATCTCCCTTGTGTTATCTATGTCCACTGCTTTGTTTTATACCCCTTGGTATGTTTCAACAAGTTCACCGCATCTTTTAAGATATTGAATATTAAAGTATTTAGGGAATCACACCCAATGAATAGTGTATGACACATTTTACATTTAAAAATTAAAATTGTGATATGTATTGAAATGCCGCTAATTAAAAATAAAAAGAGTTTAAGACTACGCAAATGCAGGTATGTAAATTTTCAATTAAATTCGCTCAAAGTAAATTAAATAAATGAATTATGAAAAGTAAATGCACATTCGTTCTACATTTGCACATCCAGCAATAATTTATCCCCATAAGACAAATATAAAATTTACATATATACCACTCAATTCTTTATGCTTTTGCATGTCACACCTGAACTTCAATTTTTACATACATGCCACTTCCCATGTATGAAAAGGTGTATTTCACCTATTAAAGTTAAGCTAGCGATAGTTTTAATGTGATATGACAGATTTGGGTGGTATAAATATGTAAATTAAAATTTAGCTGTCAGAAATATATGTAAAAATATAGGAATTTTTTGATATATATGTAAATGCCCCTAAATATAAAGAGAGGAAAGAAAACCATGACTGGTTCAGAATTCTATTTCTTATTTCCACTCTTTATCGCCATAACAAGAAAATATAAAATCAAACAAAAAACTTTATTACAATTGGTACAATACCTTGTATAAATGCACGTCTCACAACTCCCATGAGCGCATGCTCTTACACATCAAGCAAAGGCGAACTAAGGATGGGCCGACACCAGATTGAGAGCATCATAAGTGAGTTAGAAGGTTTTATACAGACATGATGAAATAACATTCACATTTTTCCCTCAAAACTTCCAACAAATATTCTCCACATGCTAGAGGGAAAAAAAAAATAAAAAAGAGAACTGGCAAGAGAGTCCGACCTGAGGAAATTACAGATTTGCGACGGATCTTGAGGGAAGCGCAAGCTCTATATCCTACAATTAGCAGCTTGAACAGAAAAACCATCATATAAGGCACTCAACCACTTTTACGGTCTAATTTACTAATTGCTATTTACCAATAAACAATTTTGATTAAAATAAAATATATAGGTTTAAGTGAAAAAAAATCTTATGTATTGTACATCAAAAATTTGCCAGCACGAATCTCGAAGATATCTCATGAATAGTAGAAGAGGTGATGTGACATCATGGGACCCAACAAGGCTGACTCGGGACAGCACACTTAGCTGGCCTGCTCCAGTTTACAAAGTGGAGAACACTTTCCAAGCGGAATAAGAGCAAATTCTCCCCAAAAAATCTATCTGATCAAACTTAAGCGAGCGAGCCTAGTGCCATCTGCTCTGACCAGGTTGGGTGAGCAGGGCAAACCGTCCAATTTTAGAAATGTTGGCATCGGTCATCAACAAGTGGCCGCCCGACCCAACGGCTGCACGACTTAATGGCGACTCGGTCCAATGGCCGCCCGACCTAGCCACGATCAATAGATATCAGCTAGCTTAATGGCAACCCGACAAAATGACCGCCCAGTCCCTTTCAACTGGACATCCGCGAGCCTCTGGGCCACATTTATGTATAAACTAAAGTACCCCCGTCGTACCTACGTGTACTAGGGGTACATTATATAATCGTACGCCACTCATCCCTATAAAAGGAGTCCATTTCATGAATAAAGATTATGTAATTTTACTGTTCACTACTGAGCTCTCTTTTTTGACGTGCTATACTCCTTGGGAGTTACTTCCGGACAGATTGAGATTCAACATCCTAAAAAAGTGAGGTAAGCGTTGAGTTATGTCGTTCACAGAGAAAAAAGGTTGGCCAGAGAGAAGTAGCCAACGTAGAACCTGAACAAGAGGACATAGAGGAATGTTGGCAGCGAGGGATGCAAGCGATGAGAACTTAAATTATGAACGACGTGTCAGATCAAATCACGGAGGACTTGAGACTCGTGCCCCCCCGTGTGTTATAATGTCTTT